CTTCCGGCTTTTTTCTTTTTGCTTATGTGGTGCTGAGGAATCGAACCCAGGGCCTCAGGCATGCAAGGCAAGCGCTCTACCGCTGAGCCACCTTCCCAGCCCTTAGAATGCATATCTTTATCTGGCTTTCCTCCCATTTCCCCTGGTTCACTCCATCACCATGTCCTGATGGCGTCCAGTCCGGTTCCTTGCAAGGAGATGGAGGTCTTCTCCCATACCGTGTACCCTCATGGTCACTCTCTCTGCCCCTATTTCTGTCCCCTTTCCCACAGGGCTCCTTGAGGGGGGGGCAATGCTGAACCCCACTTTCCACCAACCCTGTCTTCTCCCAACAATACAAGGACAAGCTAAGATAAATAATTCTTCTTTATTTCAGTCAGCAGAGGCCAAGGGGCCCAGGCGATAGACAAGAGCTAGTCTGGTCTGGGAAGGGATTGCATGTGTTTGTGTGTCTGGTTGTCTGTCTGTCTGTCTGTCCACAGTCGTGATAAAGAGTTTGACTGAGGAAATGAGACAGAATCCCTGGATGCTCTAGGCTTCATTTAGTTGTTTATTTTTTTGGTGCCAGTCCTGGGGCTTGAACTCAGGGCCTGGGTGCTGTCTCATAACTTTTTCACTCAAGGCTCTACCACTTGAGCTACAGCTCTGCTTCCGGTTTTCTGGTGATTCCTGGGAGATAAGAGTCTCACAGACCTTCCTGCCTGGGCTGGCTAGGAACCGTGATCCTCAGATCTCGGCCTCCTGAGTAGCTGGGATGACAGGCGTGAGCCACCGCTTCCAGTGCCCTGCTCCATGCTGCCCCCACCCCCCACCCCCAGGCTGGCGGCCACATCACTGTGTCACGCAGCTCCTGCGCTGCCCTGGCAACCGGAAGTCACCACGGTGGAAGTATTCCCAGCATGGGAATTGGCCAACATGAGTCTGTGGGTGAGACCAAGATGGTGACTGTGTGTAGCTGGGCGGTGTGCAAGGCCCTGGTGACAAATCTCTCCAGCCAACCACCCTCGTGACCACAGTGAGGCTGACTCAGTTTCCCTTCTTCAACTCTCCAAATCCTGGAATCCCACGTCCTTTTGTCCTCTCTAGTCAAAGCAGACATATCCAGCACTTTCGCCTGAATATCAGGCAAATGAGCTCTTCCAAGCATGGGGGGGGGGGCCCACCACAAGTCTCCAGGTCATTGTCTTTAGGATTGTCTGTGTGAGGTCTGTGGCTTGTGTGGGTTTTCTGGAAGGTTCTGCTGGGTTTTCAACTCCTCCAGGTTGCTGAGGTCTTGGTAGAGTTTTTTTTTGGGGGGGGGCTGATGTGAAAGGAGGAGGGGGCTCCTCGGTGATCTCTGCTGGCTGAGCTTCCTGTGGAGCCCCCTGTCCCGCCCCCTCCGCCCCCCTCAGGGCCAGCTATGAGTCCCTTCCATTCCAACCAACGCTTCGATTTCCTTCACACCATAAAAGCTCCGAAGTAGGAGTGGACGCCATCGTAGAGCTGGGCCAGGCGCTCACTGGGGACCCGCACGACCACCTCCTCCCCAGCCTCCAGGTGCACCACGCCGCCCACGAAGCTGCTGTCCCACCACACGCGGAAGCCGGGGGAGCGGGCGCAGGGGGACCGGCGGCTGACCAGCAGCTCCAGCTCCCTGGGGTAGCGGGGTGTGCGCTTGTAGAGGCCGTGGGTGATGGGGAGGCCGCTGGCCAGCCCCTGGGGGCAGCCCATGCCCCGCAGCTGCACCTTGGAGTAGACGTAATAGTAGCCGGCCTTGGGGGTCATCAGGGCCCCATTGTGGTAGCTGAGACCTCTCAGAAAGGCCAGGCCCAGCTGGGCCTCCCACAGCAGTGGGCCGCCGCTACCCGTCAAGCTGGTGTTGGCTCCTGGGTAGGAAAGAGAGAAATAAAGGAGGAGCTGATGGGTACATGTGCCATTCGTGTGTGTGTGTGTGTGTGTGTGTGTGTGCCAGTCCTAGGGTTTGAACTCATGGCTTGAGTACTGTCCCTGAGCTTTTTTTTTTTTCTTTTTGTCAGTCATGGAGCTTGAACTCAGGGTCCGGGCACTGTCCCTGAGCTCTTCTGCTCAAGGCTACAACTTTACTACTTTGAACCACAGCTCCACTTCCAGCTTTTTGCTGGTTCATTGGAGATAAGAGTCTCGTGGATTTTCCTTCCCAGGCTGGCTTCAAACCACAAGCCTCAGATCTCAGCCTCTTGAGTAGCTGGGATTACAGGTGTGTGCACCCTGTGAAAGAGCTCTTATGAGTCTCTTATGTCAGTATGGGACATTGTAGTCATTCGTTGCTCCATGGAAATTCAGCCATGGTAGGCGGGGGAGCACAGGAGTGTATGCGGGTTCAGCTGACCATGGCTTCGGGCATTCTCTGAAGTCTCAGAGGTGTGCTCCCGGCCTGTTCCCTTCAGAGCCCCCAGTCTGCATTCTGGGAACTCTGGGAATAAACACTGCAAGGAATGAATGGATGGATAAATGAATGCCCGCCTTCGTGAGCCTCCCAGGACGCCCTGGCGCTGCCCCTCCTCACCTGTAAGATGTGCGGCTGGCTTGGCCAGGTGGGATCTTTGCTCTGTGGAGAGAGTATCAAAGGTGAGAAGCAGCCAGCAAAGGTAAAGGTCAGCCTCCTAAGGGGTTATCACTGCCATCTTGGTATCCTGGGGAGTAGGGTGAGGGTCAAGCCCACCCCTTCCGGAGTGACCCAAACTTCTGCTTCTCAGGCATGGGGGAGGGGCACCTATAGGTTGTGCAAATTACGTTGAGCAATGGGGGCTGGCATGGGAACCATCCCTCTCTTTTCTGGGGTGCAGGACTCACTCACCTCGCACCAGCTTCTCCCAGGAGCCTGGATCTCCATCCTGCAATGCAAGAAACAATCCACAGTGAGGCCACACCCAGGCCCCAGGCAGACACAGGAGGTATGACAAAGCCAGACTGGGCCCACAGACACAGACGCAGGACCATGTGTGCACACAAGCATGCACACATGCATGCACATATGCATGCATGCACACCACCCATTAGCCCTGCAGGCATTTTGTCTTCTGTAAGTAGAATTGCAAGCAGCACCTGCCTGGGATCTCATGAAGGCTGTGTCTAAACCCTGTGTCAGCACATGGCTCAGAACAGACACCATGAAGGTGTTTCTTCAACAAATACTGAGGCTGAAATCCAGAGAACTGCAGCAGTTCTGCAGCTTGGGCAGAAAAGTCTGGGTGACCAGCAAAAGGCTGGCTGGAGGCATGGCTCAAGTGGTAGAGTGCCACAAGTTGAGCACATTCAAAGGATTTGAGTACAAAGCTTAGGTATGGCCAAAATAAAAAATCCCTCTTCAAACAACAACACACAAACAACAGAAAACAAATTGATTGCCTCCTATCTGAACTGTCCTAGATTTGGGAGTAGAACTGTGGTTCAAGTGGTTGAGCATCAGACTTGAGCAAAATTAAAAAAAAAGCAGCTCAGGGAACAGTGCCCAGGCCCTGTGCACACACAGTGCACAGATGTCCGATGACTGGACACAGGGACAGTGACCTGGAGGTGGGCATTTAATGACACTTTTTTTTGTCGGTCGTGGGGCTTGAACTCTGGGCCTGGGCACTGTCCCTCAGCTCTTCAGCTCAAAGCTAGCGCTCTACCACTCAAGCCACAGCGCCACTTCTGCTTTTTCTGCGTATGTGGTGCTGAGGAATCACACCCAGGCCCTCGTGCATGCAAGGCAAGCGCTCTACCACTGAGCCACCTTCCCAGCCCCAATGACACACTTCTAAGGCACGTGTGCCCATTTGCAAGGCACAAGTGGTCACATGGATCCATTGGTCGATAGTGCGAGACCTGGAGGCCACGCATGGAACACCAGCACATGCATGTGTACAGGTGTGTTCCCATCCACAGGAATGGAGGCCCCGGGGCTCAGGCCAGCCGCCCACGTCCACGTGGACATGTGACCGCTGCATCCCGACACAAGGAGACAGGACATGGAGACTCAGAGACTCAGAGTGCAGAGCAAGGCCACACGAGCAGGGGCTGGGCACAGTGACCCGGAGCAAGACCCATCCATGGCTAATTGGAAACAGCCTAGAGTGATCACTACCAACAGTTACTCAGAAAGCCGGAAGAGGCGATGAGCTGGGCGCCGATAGCTCACACCTGTCACCCCAGCTACTCAGGAGGCTGAGATCTGAGGATCGCCGTTCAAAGCCAGCCAGGAAAGTCTGTGAGACTCTTATCTCCAAATTAAGCATCTAAAAGCTAGATTGGAGCTGTGGCTCAGGTGGTAGAGCATGAGCCTTGAGAAAAATAAACCTCAGAGACAGAACCCAGGCCCCCAGTTTAAGCCCCATCTCTCTCTCTCACACACACACACACACACACACACACCAATGGCAGGAGCAAGGACACGTCAGAATGTCACTTCTGATTGGTTGGACCCTTGCTTTGTCCAGCCATTGCAGGGCACCCCACACTCCCCGTGTATTATGTATTTACTATTCTACAGTGATTCCCATTTTACAGGGGAAAACTGAGGTAGGTGCATTAACAGCCCTGGCCACACCTAGGGACAAACAGGAACACGAGAGCTCTTTCCCCCATCCCCCCACCTCCCTCCCCGCCCCCCCAGGCCCCACTCACCGGCAGGTGGCTGACCACTTCTGCCAGGTGCCGGTGCAGCTGCAGTACAAACCAGCCTTGGACTGCCAGCCCGGCGCCCAGGAGCAGCATCAGCAGCGCCAGGCACCCCTGGGCAGCGCTGCAGCGCCGTCTCCCCGTGCCGTGTCCCAGCCTCCTGAATGGGATGTCTGTCTGTCCATCTATCACAAACACGGAGGGCTGCGGGATCGACTCTTCCATGCCAGGCAGCGAATGCCCCAGGCTGGGTTAGGGCAGGGCAGACTCGCCTGAGCACACGGAGGAAACCACAATTGCCCAATGATCTGAACCCCTGCCTGAAGCTCGGCCTGCAGCCTGCTTTAGAGCAGGGGTTTGGCCCCTCCCCTGTCCCCACGCACCCTCCCCTTCTTCCTGTGCTCCCCACCCGGCCCCTGTCTAGCTCACCACTCCGTTATCTCACACTTTCCAATATGTTGATGTGACTCAAGTGGGGATCCCACGGGGCTCCCCCCCAGCCCCTTCCCCCCAGCCCCTCCGGCTTTCTCTGCTCAGCCGCTCAGTACCCTTGTTTGCCAGGATGACTTATTCCCTTCTTTATTTTTGTGCAATCCTGGAGCTTGAACTCAGGGCCCAGATGCTGACCCTAAGCTTTGTTTGCTCAAGGCTTGTGCTCTACCACCTGAGCCACAGTGCCACTTCAGGCTTTTTAGTGGCTCTTTGGAGATCAGAGTCTGATGGACTTTTCTTAACCAAGCTGGCTTTGAATCAGGATCCTCAGATCTCAGCCTCCTGAGTAGTAGGACTACCATTGTGAGCCCTTGGTGCCCAGCCAGAGTTATTTTGTGAGGTGCTGGTGTGGGCTGTGCGCTGTTCTAGGTTGGGCACACAGCAGAGAACATGAGCCCAGATCCCTGCGCCCATGAGCTTCGCTGGGTCGGAAGGGCTGGTGAGGTAACATTGGGAGTGGGTTCCCAGGTTACAGATGAGGTGGGAAATGTGCCAGGAGGCTTGGGACCACGCGCATGCACACATGTGTGCACCCATGTGCACACAGATCTTGCTGTGTGGTGTATGTGGCTGTGTGCACACACACGTGTGTGTGCAGGGCGCATGCATATCATCCTTGTATGAGTTTTGTAAGCATCTAAGTCAGTCAGCCCTGATCATCAGCTAGTGAAAAATATCCCAGTGACTTCCTGCTGAGATCACCACACTGGCACATTAACTCCTGGGGGCTGAAGCCCATCCTTGCTTTGTCTGTGTGTGTGTGTGTGTGTGTGTGTGTGAGTGTGAGTGTGTATGTGCACATGCACGCATATGCCGGTACTGGGGTTTAAACTCAGGGCCTGGACTCTCTCACTTAACTTTTTCACTGGAGGCTGATGCTCTGCCGCTTGAGCCACACCTCCAGGCTGGCTTTTTGGTGATTGACGGGAGATAAGAGTGTGATAGGCTTCCCTGCCCCAGCTGGCATTACATTGCGATTCTCCTGCGTAGGTGGGATTATAGGTGTGAGCCCTGGGCTCCTCCTGGCTCTCTCTCTTTCCTTTATTTCCCCGTTGGTTGTGAGGCCTGAACTCTGGGCCTGGGCTCTGTCCCTCAGCTCTTCAACTCAAGGCTAGCACTCTACCCCTTGAGCCACAGCGCCACTTCCAGCTTTTTCTGCTTATGCGGTGCGGAGAAATCGAACCCAGGGCCTCATGCATGCAAGGCAAGCACTCTACCACTGAGCCAGCTTCCCAGCCCCTCTCACTCCTTTCTATACAGGCATGTGGGCAGATTCAGAAACCCAGGTGGGGGCATCCTCTTGTGTCCTTGTCTCCAATTCTGACCTGAGGGACCGCCCCCGTGTGGCATGCCCTCCCCTGCTGCCACTGCCCGGGCTGGAAGTGAGGGATGGAGCTCCTCAACTCCGGGTCAGCCCCAAACCTAACCTGCTTGGCCTCCAGTCTGTGCCCTGTTGGATGGGTCACTTGCTCATGACATCTTGGATGCCCCTCTTCCCTGGCTTGCTTTATTCTTATTTTAATTTTTCTGTCAGTTGTAGGGCCTGAACTCTGGGCCTGGGCACTGTCCCTCAGCTCTTCAGCTCAAGGTGAGCACTCCACCATTTGAGCCACAGCACCACTTCTGATTTTCAGGTAGTTCATTGGAGACAAGAGTCTCTGCCTGGCCTGGCTTTGAGCCTTGATCCTCAGCTCTTAGCCTCCTGAGTAGCTAAGATTACAGGTGTGAGCCATCAGTGCCGGACTGCCCTGGCTTTATAACGACCTCCCTCCTGCCCTCGATTTTACCCCTTCGTCCTTAAAGCCCAACTGTTCCCTGAGTACTGTCCACTGAGCTTAGAAGCATTACTGGGTGTCCCCCATCCCCACCCTCGGGGCTTTGACAGCCTCAGAGCCGCTGCTCTGTCCCTGGCATCTCCTGGGACTCCAGAGGTCAGCTCCCATGCATCTATGTCTTGACCTGAGCCCTTCTCCTCAGTGTGGGCATCCAGGCCACCTGGATCAGGGGTTATGAGAATATAGGTCCAACAGGAGACGGACAGACAGACAGATAAGCACTCACCTGTAATCCTGGCTACTTGAGAGGTACAGTAGGAAGATCAGTGTTCAAGGCTAGCCTGAGCTACATAGGGAGACCCTGTCTCAAAACCAAACAACCACCAAACAAAAATATCAAACAAGAAAACTGGAGAGAAAACCACTCTAAGGCAAAGCACGAGAGACACAGAGACCGAGGGAGAGACGAAAGGAATAGAGAAAGCAGGAGGACAAAGACAGAAGATGGAGTGAGAGAAGAAAGAGAGGCAGGGATGGAGACAAATTGGGGAGTGATAAAGAGAGAGAGACACACACAGATGAGCTAGGCACCGGTGACTCACACCTGTCATCCTAGCTACTCAGGAGGCTGAGATCTGAGGATCGTGGTTCAAAGCCAGCCAGAGCAGGAAAGTCCATGAGACTCTTATCTTCAATAAACCACCAGAAAACTGGAAGTGGCGCTGTGGCTCAAGTGGTTGAGTGCTCATCTTGAGCTGAAGAGCTGAGGGACAGCACCCAGGCCCTGAGTTCAAGCCTCACGACCAATCAAGAGAAAAAAAAAAGAGACACAGATGAGAAGAGACACACAGAGACAAAGGGATATTGTGTGCCAGAGCCAGAGAGACCAAGAGAGACAGAGACATTGAAAGAAAGGGAGAGCTAGAGAAAGAGACAGAAATGACACAGAGGGTGACAGAGAGAGAGAGAGAGAGAGAGAGAGAGGCTTTTAGATATCAGGTCCTTAAGTCAGAATGTGTGCTATCCAGCCTAGAACTACAGGCAGTAAGTGTGTGTGTGTGTGGGGGGGGGGGTCGGACAGGGTACTCACAGCACACAGCATCACGAGCCTCCTGGAACATATATTGACCAGAGCCTTTGGCATTTGTTGGGGGGGGGCTGTGATTTAATGTCCCCATATTCTGAGACTTGGGAGTCTAAGAGGCAGGGGCTGTGAAGCAGCAGCGACACTCAGTTGAGCGGGGAGGAGTTCCCATGACCTCACCCATGATTCCACCCTCCACTCTCACCCTTCCAGTTTCCGAGGGACCATGAGAAGAGACACGGGGGCAGCCCCCTTTAGCATCAGCACCTCCCATGCTGCGCTGGAGATGCTGCCCGCCCCCCCCCAAAGCCACGAACATCACACCACTTCATTCCCTCCCCAACTACTGACTGTTTTCTGCAGTCACTCTGAGGCTCCAGCCTGAAGCACCATCACCACCACCACCACCACCACCTTTATCACCACCACCCACCCCAGTCAGGCCCAGCCTGGAGCCACATTCACCCTGAGCACTTTGGGGACAAAGTGGGGCTAGGTGGGTGGAGGGAGCTGGAGCAGCACCCACCACAGGTAAGTAAGACAGGGAATGGAGCTAGGAGTTGGTGGCGTAGATGAGGGGACTCATGGCTTGGGAGACCAGGTAAGGTCAGATGTTTGAAGGCCTTGAGGTGTAGGAGTGTGGTAAGCCAGGAGGTGTGTGTGTGTGTGTATGTGTGTGTGTGCACATGTGTGTGCATATGCACGTGCGCAGAGGACTGTGTTGTCAGAACCACTGTGTATGAAGCTGACATTGTGGGTGATGTGCTGCTAGGAAACCCAAGGAAATCTTGAGAGGGTACAGGTGAAGACTGAAATAAGAATACAAGGCAAGAGCCAGGCCCCAGTGGCTCATGTCTGTGATTCCAGCTTCTGGGAGGCTGAGATCTGATGACCGTGGTTCAAAGCCAACCTGGGCAGGAAAGTCTCTGAGACTCTTATCTCCATTGAATCACCAGAAAATTGGAAGTCGTGCTGGGCCTCAAAATGGTAGAGCACTAGCCTTGATCAAGAGAGCTCAGAGACAGCACCCAGGCCCTGAGTTCAAGCCACACAACCGACAAAAAAAAAAGAAAAAAGGAATGAAAGGTGGCTCACGCTTGTAATCCCAGCTACTCAGGAGGTTGAAATCTGAGGATTGTGGTTAGAAGCCAGCTGGAGAGCAGGAAAGTCTGTTAAGACTCTAATCTCCAATGAACCACCACAAAGCCAGAAGTGGAGTGATAGAGGGCTAGACTTGAGCACAAAAGCTCAGGGACAGCACCTAGAGGCCCAGGGCTGGTGCGCACATGTGTGTACACACACACACAACTCCAGACTTTCGAACATAGATAAACAAAGCTTTATTGGGGGGGTTGCAGGGGTGATCAGTTGGGGCAGCCGAAGACCACCATGTTCTCGGTGAAGGCACCCAGGTCCTGGCACTGTTTCTGGTTCTCTTCATCCTGGCATTCCTCGGCTTCGGGCCACAGCTCCACCCATGTGTCCTTCCCGATGATGTAGCTGGTGCTGGGGGCAGGGCGAGAGGAAGGATCAGAGGGGCGTGGCCTTTATGGACATACTTTATGAATGGAAGGGGCTCAGTGGGCGGCACACGGAGGGGGCGTGGCTTTCAGGGCGGGGTTTGTGAATGGGATGGGTCTAGTGGGCGTGGCCTCCTGGAGGGCGTGGCTTCCATGAGGGCCAGGCTAAGACAAGTGGAAGGGCTGGCACAGGCCTGCACATGGCAGAGCAGACACTCACTTGGGCTTTTCCCCCCAGAGGTCGGAGGAGAGACCCCACATGAGGTAGTGCTTCCCTTTCTGTATCTTCAAGGCCTCCCTGCACTTGATGTGGCTGATGAACCTGCGCTCCTGTCCGGCCTGCACTTCATCGGAACCTGGAGTGAGGGAGAGGGTGGGTGAGCCTCAGGGACACGTGGGGAGTGGGGCAGGGGAGAGGAGGGGGGCACG